ACAAATCTCCAAAATCCCTCATTTTCGCGCATCAGATTAGTGTATCTCGCGCATCAGATTAATGTATCAACGCTTATATTATTGTATCTCGCGCATCAGATTATTGTATCATGTATAAAATGTACATCAAATTAGTGTATCATGTATAGAATGTAATGTATCTTACTTAACGATTAATGTATCTCGCACATCAGATTAATGTATCAACGCTTATATTATTGTATCTCGCGCATCAGATTATTGTATCATGTATAAAATGTACATCAAATTAGTGTATCATGTATAGAATGTAATGTATCTTACTTAACGATTAATGTATCTCGCACATCAGATTAATGTATCAACGCTTATATTATTGTATCTCGCGCATCAGATTATTGTATCATGTATAAAATGTACATCAAATTAGTGTATCATGTATAGAATGTAATGTATCTTACTTAACGATTAATGTATCTCGCACATCAGATTAATGTATCAACGCTTATATTATTGTATCTCGCGCATCAGATTATTGTATCATGTATAAAATGTACATCAAATTAGTGTATCATGTATAGAATGTAATGTATCTTACTTAACGATTAATGTATCTCGCACATCAGATTAATGTATCAACGCTTATATTATTGTATCCGTTTGAAGGATTTCTGTAATTATAAACTTTGAAGGGATATGTTGTAATTTTGCCTTAAAAGTATGTGATTTATGTAATTTGCCCATTGTTCAACGAATACAATCAAGGCAAAATACATAAAAATGCATTGAATATACAAGATACAAACAATAAAAATACAGGATTATAAACTATATAACCACAAAAATACAATAAGATACATCCGTAAAATACAGTCAAACAAGAACACGAACAACAAAAATTATATCCCGTATCTGAAAAGTTAGATATCTGGTGCAAAATATATATATGTGAAGTTTAGAGAGGATATACAATAATACAAATAACAAAAGGTGGATGGTACAATCAAGGTAAAATATCAAAATTAGTGATTTGCCGGAAAAATTTTCGTTCAAAATACAGAAAAACAATCCAGAACAAAAAAAAGTTTTCGATGCCATAAACTTTGTCCTTCCTCAAAATATAGTGATTTGGTTAAGGTTGTGTGTATATCGATCAGTTTCTCCATATTTACTTGTGGAATTATATCAGGAATATTATTGTTGATTAAGTTAAATTCTTTAAAACGGTTTTACATAATCCTTCGACTTGAGTAATTTTTTGAGTGAAATAACAAAAGATAAGTGATTTTTCTCATTAAAAAGGGTGACTTTATTCACTTATTTTGAGTATATAGTTCACATCATTTAATTAAGCAATATGAACTCTTAGAAAAATATATCGCAACCCTAACGAAACAAAAATACTTTCCTTTCTTTTACAAGATATGCAAAATATCATATTCACACATTGATTGATGATATTATTCAAGTTTACAAACATATAGTATATGCTATATATGTATACACCACCAAGACTCAAAAGTAATTCCCATCACAACTAGCTAGCTAACTAAAACACTCATAAATATTTGTTTTTTATATATATATGCAACCTTGGTTCTTGCTTTAAGGTTTATTTTTAAAGCCACCATTAGAATTAGCTCTATGCCAAGCTGCAAATCCATTAAACAAAACCAACGTATTGCTAGTAACTTGTGCAACATTAAGTACCCTAGCTTTAATCATAGCCATCCTTTTACCACCCATTGGGTACCCATAAAATCCATCCATACAAATATATGTATCAGTCAATACAGTACTTAGCCAAGTTTGCACATTGCTTTGACACCAAGCAAAATCCCCTTCACTATATTCTGCACTCTTCATGTGTTCAAATTCTTTGAATGAATTTGTAAGCTCAGAAACACTATCTGACATTTGATCTAAACAATCTTTAACCGCTTGATATTCCTTAGCCTTTTTTTGTTTCAGTTCTTTCGACACTATTTCCAAGTAATTTTTTGTGTATACTGCCTTAACTATACTCACTTTTAAAGCAGCTTGAGCTATTTCTTGAGGATCTTGTGACGTTGGATTTAAATGTGTTGCTAATGAACTCACACATAGACCTGGATAACGAGTGTGCTTGCATTGTGACTCTATGAATTTAGGCACGATTGCATTCGATTCAACAATAAAGATAGAAAAAATGAGAAGTAAAATTAGGGGAAGGACAAGTTTTTCCATATTTTTTTTTGGAGAAGTATAACAAGGAAAGATTAACCTAAGAGTATAGAATTATATGAAGAGAGAATGAATTTTGTTGTGTTGTGTTTGTTTGATGGGAAAATTGTAAAGGAGGTGCTAAGGTTTATATAGAAGCTAAGGGCTATGACATGAATATAAATGATCATGAGAAGTTTAATTATATTAATGCACACTCATTCTTGCTTAATATTCGGTATTGACCTTATACACCCTTTAAGAAAATTTTAATTTATTAAAACTAATCTTATTAATGATATTTTGAAATTTTAAATTTGACTGCTATTATTTAATTAATACTAAAAGTAGTATAGAAAAAAGAAAACTCTCTTAATTTGCTAAAACATATCGATAAAATTGAAATATTTATTTTTAATATAAGAATCAAGTAAAATAAAACGGAGGGAGTAATGCATAATGCATAATTATTTTATGTGAGTCAATTTTTTGGGGAAGGTGTTGATGTTGGGGTTCTAGTAAACACAAACCTTAATTCTTGTCGGAGCAATGTCCTATTTACGTAACTAATTATGAGTATTGAGTTATTGCTTTGACACCCAAAAAGTAGGAAAAGATTATATTTTAAAGAAAAATCTTTTTGGCAAAAAATTTGGTCAGAATGGTAAAATAACATATTTCATATTATGTTATTTTATATTTTTGAATATTTTTACCCTTTTAACTTTAATATCTTTTAATTAAAAAATGAAAAAAAGATCAATTTATTTTAAAATAAAAAGGATATTATAGACTTTTTAAATTTCTGATCGGCCAAATTTTCTGGCCATTTAGCATTATTCATATCTTAAATCAACTATGTTAATGTGCGTAATTAACAACAATAAATGTGTAGAATGTTAAAATTTTTACTGATATTAATTAATTGTCATTAGATTTAGTGTTACTATAAACTTAAATGACATTTACAAAAAATGTCAAAATATAATTGTTACTAGTAATTGTCTTATAAAAAAATATTTAACTATAATTAAGTTATTATCATTAATTTATTACTGCTAGAAATCATTTTTTGTATAGTAACTTTTCATAATTTTTTATATACGTAATGCAATTTTTTTTGAAAGGTACTCACCTGACCCGAACCCAAAAACATTCCATTCTTTTTTATTAGTAAAAAAATGTATGTACTAAGCTAGAAATTGATCCCTACCCAAGACCGGTTCAATGCTTACAAAACTAAGATATATGTTCCATTATAAAATTTAAAATGTTCTTTATTTTTTAAAATTTTATGTTAAGTTGACAAATAAATTAAAAGAGAAGAGAATAGCAAATTGCATTTTATGTTTGTTTAGGTGATTTTCAAGCAACTTCAAATTACTTATCGAATCTTCTTGCTATTATTTCGATTGAGAAAACACACTACTAGGGTCGACCCCTACGCTACCAATTATTACTCTTTTGACTCTTTTTCAATCATTCTCCTGAAAAATGTATAGCGAAAAATAAAATATATGATGATTAGCTTGAATTTTAAAAACTTTCCTTATATTGAACTATGAAAAAAATATTAGAAATTTACTAAATATAAACTAGAGAGAGTAACGAATAAGAATTAATAAATTATTGGGATTGAAAACATATGGTCAAGGATTTTTTTTTTTTCAAGAGAAGTAGAAAAAAGAAATTGATAATGCAAGATAAAGCCAAAATGGCAAAATAGAGCAAATGATATATAAACCAATTTACACCGAGACAAAGAAAATAATATTACATGCGATATCTCTATGTATTTTATATAATAAGTATAACTTAGGACCTTAAGTTATGTTCACATGAATGAGAATTTGACTTTGATTTCTGTAACGTTGTGCCACATGCCAGAAGACCATAGTATTTACAATTGTAATTTAATTAGTCCTTCACGTGCAATTAAATATTATTCCCTTCGTCCATCTTTATTTTTTCCATCCTAATTAGATATGACAATTTTAATAGATCGCTTTATAAACATAATAAATTAAATATTTTGAAAAAAAATATAAGAGTAAATTGTGATAGTTATCTTTTGATTTTTGCAACTGATAATAAAAATAAAAATTTATTATTTTTAATATAGTGGACGATGAAGTAATAATAACTTCTAAGAAGAGAGAGATAAGGTTGGGTGTAGTAGACACAAACCTTAATTCGTGTTAGAGTCGGTCGTAAACTTAGGTGGAGAGGATTATTATTCAACGTTTTACTAGCTTGTGCTGAACAGGCTTTTTTATCCGTGCATACCGCAACTTGTCTTGCACAAAAAAAAAAACAAATAAATAAAACATGGACTAAATATTAGACCAAATTATGCTACTACATCAAGCTATTTATTTCATAATACATCTACAATTATTAAAATAAAACTACATCTAAATGGATGATATATCGTTTTACCTTTTTTATTTTTTCAATTACGTTTGTAACATAAAATAGATCATTTTTTTACCCTCCCTAGGAGCTCCCACCCCTTTTGCTTCCTTGGTGACTCGAACTCGCAACCTTCGGGTTGGAAGTGAGGGGTGCTTATCATCAATGGCGTAGCCAGAAATTTCACGAAGGGTGTCCAAGAATCGCATAGGTAAAAAAATAATTTGACGATGGGTGCACTAAAATTTTGAAATCAAACTACGTAACATTAACAATTTATTTTTTAATTAAAAATTAATACTAAAATTTTTAAAATCAAACCACGTAAAATTTAGCTTGAATTTTCTTGTTTATTTAATAGGAAGTGAACGAAAAAGAAAAAAGAGAAAGAGAAAATTCAGTTTATAATGAAACTTCCAGTAGTATCATTGTTGGATTTTATGAGAATAACAATTCAATCATGGAGTGCTAAACATAGCGAAGAGGCTGGGCAAACCAAAACTGATCTTACTGAACCATACAATAAAATACTTGAAGATAACCGTGAGATATCTCACCGTATGACAGTAAGTATCTAATTCTCTGAATATTTGCAATGTTAATTTTTGAATATTTTTGTAACTAAGCAAATTCTGTATGTCTTTTGATACTTTTGATACATGAAAATTGTTTTAGGTAAGCCCATCAACACAATTCCTACATACAATAACTGATGGAGCAAGACGTTTCACCGTGTGTCTACGAAGTAGAAAATGTAGTTGTGGACGTTTTCAACTGGATGAGATACCATGTGGTCATGCTATGGCTGCAATTGCACACAGAAATAAACATGGAGAGGACTATTGTTCTGAGTTCTACAGCAATAAAAATTTCCAAGACGCGTATGCAATTCCAGTTGAACCTCTTCCATGTGAGAGTACATGGGAAATACCGTCTCATGTGCTGGATCAAAAATTATTACCACCAGATTATAAGAGAGGGCCAGGGAGACCACCAATGGAACGCAAGAAGTCATATAGCGAAGGAAAATTCAAGAGGGCCAAGGTAACATGCAGCATATGTCGTCGCGAGGGGCACAATAGGACGACATGTGGTAGATATCCACCAGATGCATAGTTTATGATCATATGTTTGTGATTGTTCTATTTATTTCTTTGTTTACAAACAATTGAACTGTTTTTTGTTATTTCTAGGTGATTCATCTATGTTATTAGTATGTTTTAAGGATTCTATTTAAGTTTATGAAATACAATTTAGTAAAAAATATTATAATTATATATTTTTTGTTACTGTGACATAAAATTTTAAAGATACCTGCATCTGAAATGTTCATTCCAAAATTATCAACTCCTTGATATGTACTGCATCTAAATTTAAAGATGGAACAATTAATATGGGAATGATCTGTAGATCACTATAAAATCATACAAGTCATATTAGAAATTATAACGAGTATACAACAGTTATTATAACAGGTTTTTGAGAATAATCACTTTGTATAATTTTGATATATAAAGTGATTATAATTGAGGAACCAAGTTTCTATATAATTTATAAAGACTCAATACGTCTATTTGGTGAATTCTTATTAACATAATCAACTCCTTGATTTTGCGTTTATTTAAGTGAAACAAATATTTTAAGAATATTTAATTGTTCGCAAAAAACCGTATAAGCAGCATTGAGAGATAAGCATTAAATATGATAATTATAAGCAACTTGATTGAATCATCAAAAAAAGCTTTCAAAACTTTCGTATGATATCATCCTTTGTGTTTAAATCTTTCAACACTTCGCATAATCATCAATCTTTCAATACAAACTATATTCCATAGTGTAACTATTTTTATATATAATAGTTGTATAACCATGGAATGACTGCTTTAATTAATAATATTGCTATATAGAATCGTTACAAAATAATTTGTACACTAGTGATTATATATCAAATATAAATTCACAATCCACAACTAAAAATAATACATAATAGTTTTCATCAAAACTTTAAAAATAAAACTGCCACAAATCTTTTTTAATACCATATACTAACTGCCAGAAATCAAGTTCACAATCACCAACTAAAAAAAACATTTACCGTCTTCATCCAGAAATATTCAAAACCAAAAATATAAGACAGATAATCCTTTAAAATGAAAAAACTTAAATAAATGCCATAATCCATCATATTTATTTGTAGACTCTTGGTGTAGGATTTGGCATCTGAAACTTCTGGCAATCCCTAACAATATCTCTGTTAATACTTGGTTCACCCAATTTGCTTGCAAATTTGCCACTCACCTCACCTTCACTTATAGCACCTTGACTAAGTTTTGATGTTGCATATTCCCAAAGTAATGCACCATATCTCTTACGGTGAAGTTTTGGCATGAAACATTGACTTGGAATTTCAAAAACTCCATGTGTAATAAGTTCAGCAAATACGCATGCATAAAGTCCACTATCACTGAAAACATTGAAAATCTTAAAACTGGTAGATAAAAAATAAAAATAAAAATTTAAAAAATTAAACTTATGAACTAGAAACATCAAATATTATTTATAAAATAAACAGGAGGCACTGGCAGGTCGGAATTGAATCTTTTAAACCTAAACTAACACATAAAATTGAGCACAGTCCACCTATGGCTATCAACTTCACTTCTTTTTAACAAGTCTATTATCAAAAATGGTGAGCTCTATTTAGTAATCTAATTCTTCAAAATAGTTGATATTATCATAGAACGTATTCAAAATTCCATTTTCAGTACACTAAATTCAGAATTTTAATTATCTACTTCATTTTGGACCTACTAAGTTTAGTGCCGTAATGATGAAATAAAAAGGTGACAGCTAAAAGTTTTGAAAGAAGAAAGAATGGATTCCTTAGGTAGTAGGTCAGAAGTATGAAGTAAGCAAAGCGAGTTAAAAACAGAATTGTCATTGAGAAGGAGGCAGGCAGACTACGCCAGAAACAACCACGATAACTTCTCACAGACGCTGCATAAATAGACTTGAACACAACACTGCAAATGTGTTCTACACATAAACATTCTATTACTTGGTCTAACATTTATGATCGACACCAACTCCATCCTCAGTTGCAACACAACACTACATGACATTATTTATTAACGAAATATGAAGGCAATTTAGTTACACAAGCAAATTCAAAAAGGGAATCACTTACTTTGAATCAGGATGTTGTTGTGGGATGTTCCTTTGCATCTTATATTCAAGTGGTTCCATTTCTGACTTGTCAAAATAAGCAGGTTCCATATGCCATTGAATATCTGAACGTTTACCATAATAGCCTATGCTACTAAAGAACAACGGTATCATTCTTGCAATAGACTCAACAGACTGTTTTACCATTTTAGTGTGATTTTCATCACCCATCTTTGAATCATAAACGTACAAACACCTGTGTTTTATGCGAAAAACTACAAGAATCCAATGAAAACACTCACTAACATTCACAGGGATGATGATGTTATCAACTCTATCCCAAGGGATATTGGCAATCAAATTGTAACCCCGCATATATTGACCAACACAATGGTTAGGAGATATTGAACTCATATCACAATTTGATTCTTCCCACAATATTTCAGCTCCCAACAACCACGACATAAAAACAGAGTCTGTGGTGACATATCTAGTACGAATGTTTGTAGAGTGTTTATCCTTTTTCCGTAAATAGTACATAATGACATCAACATGCTGTTTCAATATAAACAATCAGTAAATAATAACATCAAAATGATAAAACAGGATTAAAAAATTACATATTGATTGCATACAATATGATTAACTATAGTTTATAAATATACATATTAATTGCATACAATATGATTAACATTTTGTTCTTAAAATACTGTGATTTCAAAAACACAATAACTGTATATAATAGATATATAATAAGATTTCTACATTTTTTTTGAATTATATACTCATCGGTCACATACATATAAATTAAATAAATGACATTAATATGTGAATCTGGAAATTCTTCTATGGACAACGTCATATTAATATAATACATGAAGAAGATAAAATTTTAAAACATACCTCATCTTCCCAAGGTCTTCCATCATGAACCATTATGTGGAACCAATCCATTTTCTTTACTTTTACAATTCCTAGATCAAGTTCAGGCTTCAACTTATCATACACTGCGGTGTATGCAGACTTCCTGCTTCAATTATGTTTTTATATATATAAATCCATAATATGGAAAATAATTGATAAAAATTGAGTAAAATCATCATAATGTAATGTCAAAAGTACCTATTTCGTCTCTGTGATACATTCTGATACACCCAATCTACAAACTTATTTATCAAATCAGCAGAACAATCAAACCCTTTAAACTTTTCAAAAGGATGCTTAGCATTAGAAAAAATCATCCTCTTTTCACAACTATTTCCACCTTCAGGTAGCTGCACATATGGGGATGTATCATACTTGCCTGAATTTTTAATTCGCATTTGCAATTGCGGTGTCACTGTTTCATTAAGTATTGGATCCAATGCAACCATTTGTGTGTCTGTGAATGGAGGAAAATCATCCAATGTTGGTGTTTTAGTAGACGAAGTTCCCGGCACATCATATTTAGAAACTAGAATCATATATAATATAACAAATTAGTGCTTCATCATAGGACCTCAATTCTACAACAAAAACATTAACATATTTAGTACCTGTATCTGACAAATTCATTCCAGAAGAATCATCTACCTCATTTTCTGATGCCACTGCATTTTAAAATGATAAAATTATATTCACTACAGGTAATAAAAATTATCAACTTATTATAAAAATTAGGTATAACAACTAATAATATGTATAAAAGCAAGTTGAATAGAATTTATAAAGGACTCAATACCTGTATCTGAATTTTTCATTCCAAAAGTATCAACTGTTTGATTTTGTTCAACATCTATATTTAACATGAACAAATATTTAGAAAATATCAGTATTTCACTATAAATTCATATAATTCTATGAAAAAAATTATTGAGTATAAAACAAGTATGAAAACAGGTTGTTGCTAATCTTCACTTTGTATAAATTTTGTATATAAAGTGATAATAATAGATTAACCAAATATCAAAGTAATTTTTAAAGAACCATACCTTAATCGGGTGAATTCTTTTCAAGAGAATCGACTCCTTGATTTTGTGTACATTTTAAGTGGAACAAATATTTTAGGAAAAAGTAGTTTGCAAATAACTCATATAGGCAGCTATGAGACATAAACATAAACATGATAATTATAAAACTAATATAACAATAGATTTTCAACATATATCATCAAAATAATATAAACCTTGAACTGGGAAAAACTTTTCATGGGTTGGAGTTTCACTTGACTTCTGTTTTGATGATCTGAATTCTTCAATAAGCAACTTCATTGAATCATCAATATAAGCTTTCAAATCCTTTATATGATCATCAACTTTTGTCCTTAAATCTTTCAAATCTTCCCGGACCTATGTAAGAAAGAATAAACTATCAAAACATGTATACGATTATATAAACATAGTAAAATTTTCCCTTACATTCACAATTTCATTCTTTAATCTTAAATATCTTTCTTCATCAGTTAAAACCATCTTAACCCCTTCATCCTGATTATTTGTGCTTTCTGGCATGATTGAAGGATCCATGTCAGCCAGCTCCACATCTGTCAGTACTATGTTTGAAAACTTGATCTAGCATTAAAAATTCATATGAAAAAACATTTCAAACAAAGAGATTATAGACATAATTCAAGAAATAAAATTCTTATAATCAAACCACATGAACACACTTACCTGATTTCCGTATTTTCTAAACATTGTATTCTTTAAGAATTCAAAATAAATCAACGAATCAGATGTCCGCCAATTGAGTATCCGCGGAGTGGTGGTACATATGCGAGTTGCAACAGAACGATCAACCTTAGAGCAACACTCATAAAACCATATTTGTAAGGCAAGATGAAATCCACCAAACTTGAATGATGATGGATTTTTTCCCAGTTTATGGCTACAATTTTTAAGCAGTGTGCGAAAACAAAGGTTCCCCCATGAATAATCTTTATACTCCCCAGTTTCAACCAAGTCAAAGTGCAATTTCGATACAAAATTGCTGTTTGGTTCAGCAGAAAGTAAGAAAGTCTCAATAAAGTATACCAATGCCATTTTGAAGACATCTCCAGGCTCTATAAAATCTTTGGCATTAAAAGCATTAATAAATTCCGACTTTCTAACTTGTTTTATTCCAGGAAAGTACTGTGCGAGCAGCCTGTTTGGAGAATCTGGATCTGAATAAAAATCACTATCCAAACCACATTTTAACCCAGTGATAACAGCAAATTCTCTAATTCCAAATTTAAGCTCAGTATCATTTACATTCACAATGAACATATCATCTCTATCATTCTTTGTTTCAACAAGCAAAAGGCTGCGTAATAGTTGTGGCTGAACCTTTATATGTGGCATGTCCAAAAATAAACCAAAAGGAGATTCCTTAAACTGTAGAAATTGTTGGTCGTTAAGACGATTCCTAATGTCATCACAAACATCCATATTGGTGTAGGAACACCAATGAGTATATTTCTTCTTTTCCTGGAGTAAAAAAAGGTACTTTTTAAAAAAAATAAAAAATAACTTGTGTATACTTTTGATATAAAAATTGATCATGAGCTAATTCAAGAAATAAATTCAAGCAATACATACTATATACTAACAAACAATAACATTATGAATACGTTTGATATAAAATTGGTAATACCAAAGAGATAATCAAAATAAATTACTTGTTACATGATTTAAAAACAAAAGGAGAAATGACCATTTCCATAGACACAATATACTCACATACAACAACATTAATTCACACTGATGTATCTAATTGATATAATATCAGATTTTTTTTGGTTCTGAGATAATAATGAATTATAAAAGTCAATTCCATACTTTATAACCACATGATACTCAAAACCACATCAATAAACTCAAATTCTTATGCCAAAATTGTATATACAAACGAACATAAATCAGACACATACAAAAATTTATGTTTAAATATCTCCATCAATGAAAATAACATGCAAAGAGTAAAATAATAAAATCATGAAAATATGTTCATTTAATACCTTTGGAACAACTTTTCCACTTCTGAAATTGAACTTCTTCGCGCGCACCTTAATTTTTGGATTTGGGGCTCTAGAAGTCTCACCCTTCATATAGTTCTTGTCCTTAATGTAACTTGATTCTGGCACAAAATCTGAATCCGAATCATCCGAACATGTATACACAACACTACTGCATTTTCTTTTTTTTTCTTGTTGCTTGGTTGAACTAATTTGAATAGGAACATTTTCACTTTCATTATTCTCCAAACAATCGTTCTCAAGTGATTGTGATATCAAATTGAAGCTTGGAGGTTGACTCAATCCATGATTGTTACTAAATCTAGGGCTTTTTCTAGGGGAAAGGTTAGATTTCAAATATCTCTTCATGATTGTTAATATATAATTTAAAAAACACAAAGACTAAGAATGAAGGACATGCAGATAATGGGAAATTGAAAACAAACTTGAAGTTATTCTCTGCACTAAACGTGTGTAGTCAATCAAATACATAATCTCACCACTTCCTATGCACACTTTCAAAAACTGCTAACTTCTTAATTAATTAATAATCTGAATTAATTAATAAAAAATGGCTTATTAATTAAACGTGCAGACACATACAAAAAGTTAGCAGATTTATTAAGTAAACTGCTAACTTTCAAAAATGGCTTATACAAAAAATGGCTTATTAATTATTTTAAAAATGGCTTATTAATTATTTAAAAATGGCTTATTATTTAATAAGGAAGCGTGTTCCTAGGCTCACTTTCGAAACATGTGCAGACACCTACAAAAAATCACCTTAATTAATTATTGATTTAAATATACATTAATTATTAAAAAAAAGTCCAATGGCTTTATAATTGAAACGTGTGCCATTAGACTACTTTCTAGGAGCACTTTAAAAAACTAAAAATAAAATTATAAATATAAATTAATTATTAAAATCAAAAAGCCTCATTGAGAAACGTGTGCAGTAACCATTTCCTAGATACACGCTTCCATTTTAAATAACTAAACAATCTAAATATATATTTACACGCTTCCATATTAATTTACATTAAATAATTTAAATAATTATTTATTAATTATTAATTAATTCAAATCTGTCATCAGTAGTAATTATTATGTTATATTACTAATTACTAATAAGTACCGGTAGAAGATGTAATATATGTTCTATTATGTCTATGTAAATTAATTATTCCTTAAATAAATTAATATAACATAGAGTAAAGTGCTGACTAGTATTAATGCTTGTATCGAGCTAAATTATTTATTAGATTGATTATGTTATAAATCTTAAATAATATTAAAGTATAATATAGAGATCTGAGATCTCATAATTCAGATTGTCGCTTTTATTTTGAAGATCAAATGCACTCATCACACGGTAGCTGGAGCTTACCATTTGAGAATCCTTCCAGCCAATTTTTAGTCTTAAAATAAAAAATTAGCAACAACTTGCTGAGTTAAGAAACGCTTCAATAACAAAAATGTATTCAATGTAATCTCGCAATTAGTAAAGTTTGAAGAGGGTGGTGTGTACACAGTCTTATCCTTATCCTGAAAAGGTAGAAAAGTTGTTTCCATTTGTCCCTAGACTCAAGTTGTGCAACACAAAAATCGTAAAACAAGTATAAATATAGTAAATAATCTATACTAAAACAAAGGAGAAGAACAGTAATAACAACAAATAATACGATAATCGAAATCAATGAGATAATAAAATCGAAGAATAAGATAATATAAAAGTAATAAATCAATACTGACATGGAACTAAGCAACGCTCATCCTAATCTACAAAACTCACTGTCATGTCCTTGATAAACTACAAATATACCATGTTCTATCTAATCATCTCTATGCAAAATTCTTCGACTTACTTTTATCTCTTCTCATAGACAAACTATATGGTCAACTAATTGAGTTAAAAAATACACGTAAGGATAAAGATTTTGTGCTTGACCTCCTTTTCATATGTTTGAAGGAAAATTGCTAATCAAGATAATAGGCATCGAAAATTTGAACTTGTTGAATTGGTAGCTTTTTCTCAAATTATTATTATCATTTCCAGAAAAAATATACTTTACCCTTTCGTTAATTTAGGTTGGAGAATTTTGTAGAACACAAATCAAAAGATTGAAAGTGAGACAGGACATCAATTTAGGTAGAATTGAAGGAAAAGGTTTTCCTTAAACCGTCCAAAAATTCAGAACAGAGTTAAACTAATATTAAAATATGCATGTGCTCAAAAAACTTGAAGCAGCTAAGATGACGGTCCATGCATAACGCATCTAGGACATAGTCAACCCCATGATCACATCGCGATGACTTTTATCGCAAGAAAATAATCTCTTATAGTCACTTACAAATAACCTTTTCCAGATGTCTTGAAAAAAAAGACAAAAAACTAAAACATTGTAAAAATCTATGAAATCATAGATAGACTTATAGCTACTAAGATTCATTTCCATATCATAAAACTTGCACAGATAATGTGCTATCATGGACATACCGGCAAAAATATATGTGATATGCATTCAGTTTTGGAACCAAAATGTATTTTTTTTCATTAATAAACGCAAAAGTTCATGAGAAAACTTTTAGTCGGGATACAGACAAGACCAACTACGTCCCGAAATCATGTCCATGAACAGATGAAAGTTTTCAACTTATAATCTTTGAGATATCTAGGCATCAGCTCAAGACACATTTTACATCAAACTGACCAGGATGTAACAAGAAACACACCTGCTAAAACATAAGGCATATGATAAAGCAGAAAACACGATATATATATAAATATCATTCGGTAACCTTCACGTCAGTTAGGTAGACTTGGCACTTGATCGCACTGCCCCTGACATAGAAACCAGGCATTACCATTAGACCAACCTTAGGCTTCTCGTTTTCGTCTACAGTGAAGTTTTCCAGAACACTTTCCATATAAACCTCTGAGAAGTCGGTTCCCTTCTTGACTTGGAAAACCCTAACTGGAGGATCAAATGAATATGCCAACCTATGCAAAAGCCAAATTGACTTGGTTAGTTTCAGAAAGGCCTGATAGAAAGCTGTTCTTGGGTGTCCACCACTCATAATATAGTTTCGCTGATCCAAGTTCCCAAAAAATGCAGACTCCATCTTCGAATGAACCACCTCCAAATACTTCTTCCGGCAAAAGTTCCCAAAAAGGGACTTTGGATTTTGGACTACAACATCCAGTGGATCTGATTCCCGTAATGCAAGATACTGGTGGTAAAAGCTATCATTGGGGACAGCTGAATTCTCATATTTCACACAGAAGAACTCATTCTGAAATTCAGCGAACATTCTTTGGCAGATATGTGATTCAAACGCATATTTCTTGTGAGCTCTCTTTGCATAAACTAGATCTGGCTCTATGGAGTTTGCTGCAGCATCAAGATCCCAACCAGCAGCTTTCATCATGTTGATCAGTGGCTTAGAGAAGTCGTGAATGGCCCTATAAGCAGCTTCCACGGCTGACCTGAAAAGCTCAGGAGTTAGGTCCACAGAGAAATGCCCATCCTCGTTAACTGCATTCTCTGATTCTTTCGCTGACAAACCCCTGAGCTTAAGGTTTTTCTCCAATTTAATCCGCTTCTGACTGGCCTCTAGTATCTGCTGCTGCAGCTGAAGAATCTCAGAATCTTTGTTCTGAATCTCAGATTGAAACTTCTTCACCATAACTTCATATGTTTTCAACAAGCTCTGCTGTTCTTGGATCTCTGCAGCCAAGCGAGAGTCCTGAGGTGAAACACACACAGGTTTGGGATTATGCTCCCTGTAGAAGTGCTTCAGTTCAGAGAGATTCTTCAGCTCTGAAATTACAAGTTTATCGGCAGCTTGGATTTTATCAGGGTCGTAAGGAGTATGAGCAGATTGGAGTTGAATGTAGGCAGACTTCAGGGAAGAGATATTTGTAAAAATCCTAGATACCACAGCTTCAACTGCTTCAGGATTTTGGTTTGCGGCTTCCTCCATAGGTTGTGGATGGACCTTCTGGCTGTTGCTCTCACGGAGTTGTGTATCTTTTGCACCACTGGGTTGCATAGCTACTTGTAATGAGAATAGATTAGTCTAACCCCAACCCCTAAAAGTTTGCAGTGATTAACCTGTAAAACCCAAACTCCGTCACATATGCATCATGAACCAATCACAAAACAGGCAAATAAATTCCAACATCGAATAGTTGCAGCGTCCAGAAAAATCAGCCAATGTTGAAAACAAAAATCTTTTTTTTTTTTATGACAAGGGAAACCCGCAGCCGCTACCCTTTGGGTGCGCACAGGGTAAAACCCCCGCTCCTATGCAATAGCTCGCAAACCACATAGGAGAGGTAAACCGCACTAGGCAAGCCTGGTGCGACGAGCTCGACCCAGAAGGCAAAACCCCTTGCTTTCGCTGGCAAGGGGTTTCGAACTTGAGACCTCCAACATGGAAGTCCCAAGCTCAAACCACTGGGCCACCCAAGCAACTAGCAGCAGAGTACACTTGGGTAAGCAACCAAACAGCAAGAAAATAAAAGGCTAGGCCACACCCAAAGGAAAGACAAAACTGGTACATCAGCATCCATTCTGAGCAAATTTTATCATGAGATCTCGTAAGGAGATGTAAATGTTACTAACACGTCCAGATCTTAGCAGCAATTCACTAGTGTCAAACAAAGCAAAACTACGGGGATCCCCTATCTTCTTTTTTTCCTTTGACCCTGCAAAAACCCTACTGCCTGGTGCTGGATTGACACAATATGGTGCGAGTGTGGGACCCACATCAGATTTAGTCAACTTACTTTGGGTGCCTTGACTACATCTATGACCAAGAGTTTAAATAGGTAAGGTATTCTTTAATAGGTAACGACAGTAATTATAATCAAATGACATCTTCTCTTCCACCAATTTCACGCACAACTGCTTGGAGTGCAGAAAACTTTCAAAAACAACTAGTATTTAAGTGAGCCCAAGATAGAGTGATGACTCATATCCCGCCAACCCCCAAAACCCAGTCCCCCACGGCCCCACCCACACCTCCACACACAAAAGGACCAACTGAACCAGGTTGGGTCAGCTAAGATTCTCAGCTAACCCAGAAAAAATATATTCTGTTGGCCCAACTACCTTAGAATTCTCTCTGTACCCCAAAAGATAAATGAAACGAAATTAATTTCCTTGGACAATTACATATAATTTACAGTCTGAAACATTTTCTATTCTTCTTTTCCAGATTAGTTAAAAGGATACGTGACATTGCTGTTCCAGCAAGCTGTACTCCTGCCATTGCCGATCTTTGGTACTTCCATTCCTCCATCACTTGTCCCAATGTCATCGCACAACCCATGAAATAATAAACAATTTGAATACCTATCCATAATTGTGATGTAGATCTACAATGGAATCGTATACGGCATGTGTTTTCCATGGTTCCTTGTGTAAACTGGACCAACTCACCATGATCTGTCTCCTTCTTTCCTTAGAAGTTTATTGTTGGCATTGCATCTATACAGTATACCAAGTTTCCTTATTTTTGCCGGGTCGGGTGGGGGGAATAGATCAAGAAACCATTAACATACACCAAGATTGTCTTAGCAATTGAGGATGCAATTATAAGTGTTGCTTATACCTCACAAAAATCAACCCCAATCTATGCAATTACCTACCAAGTGAAGAACTCCACACGTGAACTTCCTTGCTTTACCCTGTTCCAACAAGTTCTCTATAGAAGGAATCCATGGAGAAAGATTTGAAC